AACTCTCGTAATCGACCACCCTCTATTGTTTTACCATGCGGTCGCTTACGTGAGCGCTTTCTCGTAAGCGACCAGCTCTAGTTACGACCACTACTTCGAATTTCCGAGGTGGTCGGTTACGAGAGGTTCTAAATATAGGGCTTCCTGTGCAAACAAATGTGGTGTTTCGGTTAGATGTGTCGCTTATGGGAGTTGGTAGACTGAGAGCAGTCTCTTTTTTCTCTTTTGAGTCACAGTATATCGAGAGCACACTTGAGAGGGGTTCCGGGGGGTACTCCCTATAATGGCCTGTACGGGGAGGCTCCGCCCGAAGGGGGCACCTTTTTCAGGTTTCAGGTATATGAAAGGGTAGGGATTTAACGAGCTGAGGTACATGTAAGGGTAAGGAAATCTGATATTCGTTGTGTAAAGGACTAAAAGGGATGCCACTCTCTAAACAAGGTATTTGAAAGGGGGACCATTTGTCAGTAGAAGGAATAGGAAAGGGGTACCTTTTCTGTCAAAAATGGTATATAAAAGGTCAATGGGTTAAAACTCTCTATGGAGCCTCCCCGTATAAAACGTAATTAGGTAGCCTCCCGTCCCCTCCCCCTCCGGAGATGGGAGAGGCGAAGGCGCTAGGAACGAGCCAAAATTAATTTGCATAATTTTACTTTTCCACTCGTCGCGCGTGGCTCTTGGGAGTAAGTGCCACTGGTTACCCTAGATACATATATTTTCAATTTTTTTTAGTAAGGTAGACAGTTTGACATGCCAGCTAAATATACTGGAACCTTAATCACGTCCCTTAACTCAAACGATAGTCCATCCTGAAGGGTCAGTAGCAACTACCTCCAAGAAAAAGGTTTATGATGAATTTTTTCATGAATGTGGATCATCACTTATGTCCTGTCAATCGGTGGGGGAGGGAAAGAAGAATCCCCTCGGAAAGACGTGAGGAATACGGATATAATTACAAGCATGCTATTGGGTTAGTTTGACTGCTGCAGCAGACTTTTTACGTATATAAACTTGTATATTTCCATGGTTTTGGGGTTAAGAATGAAAACCGACACTACTGAATTACCCACTTTCTTTGTTTTTATTGTATCTAATTCCATGCCATTAAATACGGGTTGTTATTTTTTTCTCCATTCACTCATAAGACCATTCAAGAGCCAATAATTAAGCTCCTGGCCATTACAGTACCTCTCACTAGTTCTTATCTCTTATCGCGTTAAGCTTCTTTGAAAAACAAAACTACCCTTAAACCTTGAGGAAGACTTCCGTAATGGTGACTTCCTATCGCACAAAGACTTGCCAAAAATCGCCAGGGGACACTCCCACATTATAATCGTCGCATTCTCACCTGCTAGACGGTTGAAGAAGCCAGTGGTAAGCTGACTTTGCAAAAGCAGGGTGGTCGTATAATCTGTTCTGATCTCTTTCGTGCCCCCATTTGCCAACTTTGTGAGAACCTCTTTGGTATCCCCAATCCTTGCAGATTCTTGCCAACCGCGAGTTATCATTGCTCATGATCACAAACGAGCCACAAGATGCAGGCATCACATCTGTCTCACCACTGAAGTATTTCACAGCAGCCTCACCTTTGCTGTTAGCAGCCGTGGTGATGTGAAATGTACGACCTCCTCTTTTTTTGCAGTGGAATCTTATCCCGTTGAAATGCAAGTGATTTCTCACCTCCTTCATGGCACTTTTTGTGAGTACCATTTCTTTGCTGCTTACTCCGCGAGACGATGTCTTAACTGGCAACTGAGTGGGAGATGAACCGTGCGAAACAACGTTGGATACGAGAAGCCATCCCCCTGAAATTCGATAAATGTTTATCATTGGTTTATCAGTCTTGTGGGCCAAAACAAGCAGTGACGTTTAGTTCAAAATAATTCACACGGCGAAAACCCACGGTGTACCCTTCCACGGTCAGGAACGCGTGACGAACCCCTAAAAACCTGGGAGGCTATACTACCCACTGTGAGCCTCATCAATGTTTTGCAATATAACTCAGGTGAACTGTGCAGTACCGCAACTGATCCCCGCGCGACCGTAAGTGGTCCTCAGACCGGACATGATCCCCATTGTCGACCGCAAATGATCCCGAGAGGAAAAATCCGAGAATGGCCAGGACTTAAGTTACTGGTTCATCGTGTTACGTTTATTATCGCAACAAAACGTATTAATTCAACTGAATTATTTTAACAAATAAATGCCAAGACTGAAAAACAAAGAAACCTTGAACATTACACAGAAAAAATGCAAACAAAAAGAGAACTTAAATGCAACAATCAATCAATCAATCATTTATTTTAACACGATACGTCAAGGAGCTAAAAAACTCGTTCAAAATACGAACGTGTATAAATAAAATCTATAATAATTACGGCTATGTTAAAATATTATTCAATTTTAAAAACAACTCAATGAATATATACATATAAAAAACTTGGTAATAAAAACATAAAAAGTAAAAAAATAAAACCGACTAAAAAGCCACATACTAAAAACATGACTAGGAAGACTGTAATACTCGTTCTAAAAACAGTTAAAAGCTGCAATCGTGCACTATAAGACACGTTCTAAAAAGCTGCAATCGTGCAATTTACTTCTGGCGTCATTAGCATCACTTGAAAGACGCACTTCAGAAGGCAAGCTGTTCCATAACTTAGTTAATGAATAAGTGAAAGAATTCTTCTTAAATTTAAGATTAAAGTTAGGTAATTCCAAATTCAAGCCCTCGCCTCTTAGCCTATACGGTGTATGCCTGTATTTAAAAAGGCTTCCAATATAAGCAGGTCCACTACCATTTAAGCATTTAAAAAGAAGTATTAACTCCTGGTGTAAGCGCCTACAATATAAGGATGTCATGCCAGCCGTAGTGCGCAACTTGTCGTATGACATTGACTTGTTGTGCCTGATTAATGTTCTTTAAATATAACGGTTGCCATCTTCGAGACGGTTGCGTTGACCGTACCTATGTCTACAAGCAAAGGACTGCAGTATTCTAGATGAGGTAATATAAATGCTTTATAAAGTTTTATCATTGAATCATGAGGAAGAAAACGTGTTATTCTTCTCAGTGCAGAGGCCTTCGCGTAGGCTTTCTTTCATTCATTCATTCTTTATTTGCCATATATACAAAATTTTGCAATTTAAGGTTGGAATAATGAGATTAAAGAAAAAGTAAATGGCGAGGAGACCTGAAAGAAAACACTAGGCTTATAATGAGTCAGGTCTCCTAAACTTAGGATAAACTAGTCTTGATAATATAATTACAATATGGGCTTATGAAGGCTAACTTTGACCGCGAACTCACACACACACATACACACACCATGTATGTATGTGTGTATGTGTGTGTATGTATGTATGTGTGTATGTATGTATGCATATCACCGCATTTGCCTCGATTTTAAGTTTGGCCCTCGAAATCGAGGTTCTTTCGTTCGCAGTGAATGTAGCTCGATATAAACACTTATTTCAGAAAGTGTGACAAGGTTTGTTCTCCCCTGGCAGTAAAACATTTTTATACACGACGGAAGCAACGATTGAAAATGATTTGATACGCTTGCGAAGCGTTACTACTGTAGTATGAGACCAGTTTACTATTGAACTGGACTGGAAATTCACTCTTTCACTCACTCCATTGCTCGCGTGCTCTTAACTTTATCGTGGAGGTTTCAGCCAAATAGTACGTTGATTTACTGTCACGGATTCTTATACAATGTAGCTCGATATAAACACTTATTTTCGTTCAAACTTCAGCTTTTATCGATCGCCTTCGTGTCGTGAAGCGTTAAATGAACAGTTATTTGTAACGGGTAATGTCATTAAAATCAACAATCGAAACAAACTGCAACTCATTCAAATTATTTGAAATGTCATGCTTTACTCACAGCACTTCACTTTCCATTGGAAACTACTAGTAACATTAAATTTGTTGATTAATTCTCTTTTGTGGGCTTTTTTTCTCGGAGTAGTCCCACAACGTTTTAGGGCGATATTCTACTCCATTAAAAATTAAAGAAAAAATTACCATCAAATCGAGGCTTGTGTAAAATGCGGCTATTTTTGAAAGCATATGAACTAGAGCTGGGGGGTCTGTAAATTAAAAATGAGGTAATAACCCGTGTCCGTGGTCTAAAAAAACGCAAGACCTCCGCCAGCTTATTCGATTTTCATAGTGCGAGTAATATATAAAGAAATAGATCGCATTTTGTCTTCGAGCTGATAAGAAGTTTGAGTCCACGAAAAACTGACGTAACGTCCATATGATATATGCCCCAAGCATTTCGAGATACCTGAAGACCTTGTCTGGAACCAAAAAGTCACCTAAAGGGACGGTTCAGACCATTTTGTAACCCAAAATGAGAAACTCGTGGATACGTGAAGCTTGCTTAACAGGTATATGCACGGCACTTCAAATCAAAATATACCATTTTCTTTTACCACATGACTTTTCTATTCTTTGAGCAATTTATCCCCAAATTTTACATAGTTTTTACTTTAAGTTAAGGACTTTTCGTCGTCGCACTTCCTAATCACAATTTCTCTCCGATCAGTCGGTTGCAGATGCAGGGAAGTACTCCCTCTGGAAAGAAATAATAAAACAAGCTGGGAAGTTCGCTTCACGGCTACTGCTGCTACCTAAACTGTAAATTAAAAATATCTGTTTCAGCCCCAAAGTGTCAATTCAGCCCTGCAGGCCAAAGTCTGGTTCAGCCCTTCCTGGAGCCATTTGAGCACAATTTAGGCCAAAAAAGCTCTATCAAAAGGCTATTCCATCCCACGGTAGGGCCCATTTCAGACCTGGAACCAAATCAGCCCTAGCTAATTGGACTGTATTGGCTCTGATTTAAGGGAGCCAAATTAGACCCAAAAATAGGACTGTATTTTACTCACCGAAACGGCCCTGTTTTTAGGGCTAAAACAGATCTTTCTGATTTAGAGTGTAACCTAAATTCCATTTTTCGTCAGGGAAAGAGTAAACCACACATCCCTGAATTCCCCATTTAGTTAGTTTTTATTGTTTCTGCAATGTCATTCCACAAAATGCTCTACAGTTTCCTAACGACTACGATCTGACAAAGACCTCATTAAAGCCGTCCCTGGTTTGTACTCTAGACACCGGTGCAAATAATAGTGTCGATCTGTTTATCTACGCCCTGAAAAATAAACCGCGTCAACGTTTACTGAGGCTCTCGTTACGGTGACCTCGACTTATCAAGTTTCTATCTAGCGAACGAATATTTTCCAAAAATCACCAGGGGACACTCCAACATTAAAATCGTCGCATTCCCATCTGCCACCTGGTTCAAGATTCCAAAAATAATTCCCCACTCCTTGACGAGGGTAGTCCCATACAAAAGCAGTGTGGAAGGATAATCTATCCTGATCTCTTTCATGGCCCCATTTGCCAACTTTATAATAACCATTTTCCTTTCCCCAATGTTGGCAGAGTCTTGCTAACCGCGAGTTATCATTGCTCATAATCACAAACGAGCCACATGAAGCGGGTATCACAGCTGTCTCACCACTAAGATATTTGGCAACTGCTTCGCCTTTGCTATTAGCAGCCGTGGTGATGTGAAATGTGCGACCTCCTCTTTTCTTGCAGTGGAATCTCATCTGAGTAAAATGCAAGTGCTTTCTCAGCTCCTTCATGGCGCTTTTTGTGAGTACCATCTCTTTGCTGCTTATTCCGCGGTACGATGTCTTAACTGGCAACTGAGTCGTTGAAGAACCGTGCGAAACAACGTTGGATACAAGAAGCCATCCCCCTGAAATTCAATCAGTTTTCATCAGCCATGTGTTGACTCCCGCGAACTAAGATATCCGTGATTCGGTAAGCAAATGCTAACAGTCTTTCAAGTTGTCCCCGAAACGAGGCCTGGCACAAACAATGCATATTTTGTGAACTTATTTTATAAAATAAGACCAGCATAAAAGAGGTGTCATCTTCAAGTCAAACCTTACCTCCGTCAGTTGTCATGTCACAATATGCCTTGAAAGGCCTTTTAGTCCTTCCAGGGTCAATCCAGTACTTCCCGTCGCCATTGGAGATACCTAAGTCCTTGATTTCTTTGCATGATTGAGCGGGATCGTAGGAAACGAGCCCGCGTGACGCTACAACAAAATAGATATCAACATCAGAGATCAACTTTGAAGAATTGTTGTTTGGAAAAAGTTTGCAAAGCTTCTATGAAGAAACGAGAATTTCACTTTAATCTTAAGGTGAAAATAAAAGAAGAAAACGTGCGTAAAATGAAACTAAAGAAGAAGTGAAGATAGTTTCACAAAGCTCAATTACTGAATTAATCAAGCCTGCAATCGTTTTCAAAGAGACTTATAATCTATGGTACTAATATACAGGTACATATGCCATCGGCTTCCCGGATCTTGTTTCATTCATTCAGAAGAGCAGTGATTGCTGTTGCTGGAGGTAACTTTGAGTTGAGGCTATTGGGGAGGAAAATCATTAAAGAATAATTGCATGTGGACAGATTCCCTGGCTTAAGCCCGTTGATGTAGGCTAATTCCAGTTCATAGCTAAGAATCCATGACAAATGTGTTTAACTAATAAAAGCAGACAACGCGAGAATTGCGTGTGCTATTGAGATATTTATACCTTTACACTTTTTCTCATCTCCCTTGTAACCGGGTTTACAGGTGCAGGTGAAAGTCCCTTCAGTGTTCTTACATAACCCATTTCTGTCACAGTTATGAGTTTTGCTTGTACACTCGTCGATTTCTGAAAAAACAAAGATAAACATAAATTGCATTTATTTTACCAGGTATATATAACTTTAAAAATTCTTTCTTGACATTCTCCTCTTTTAACTCTACGTTACAGATAAACCGGTGGCTTCTGCGGATATGGTGGGGTTACAAAGTTACATAGCCCAGTTGTTCATAGCCATCCAGTAGTGGGTAGTGATTTATCCGATGCAAAGCGCTATCCAACGTTTGAACAACCGGTGCCAGGGAGAATAAATAAAAGCAGTGGAATGAGTGAGTGTGCTGGATGTATAAACTATCTTTGGTTATTAAGAACTTAGGGCGGATTTCCACTGCCGCGTAATATTTACGCGAGTACGCTCGTAAAATGAACGCGCGTAAAGTTTAGCATGGGTCAACTTTTACCTTTACTCACGATCTTTCATACATAACCCTTATTTTACTCACGTACGTAAAACTAACGCGCTCACGCAGTCACGTAAAAATTACGCGATAGTGGAAACCAACCTTTACTAAAAGAGTGCTAGATAGTTACCTCTACACTTCTTTCCATCTCCCTTGTAACCGCGATTGCAGGTGCAAGTAAAGGACCCCTCAGTGTTCTTACATAACGCATTTCTGTCACAGTTATGGGTTTTGCTCTTACACTCGTCGATATCTATAAACAAAGACAAAATTATAAAACATTGATTTCATGTGCCAAAAACAACAAGGCAATACCTTCCCCGACATTTCCTTCCGAATTTCCTTTATTTACACCCCGTTGGGGCTTTATATTGTCTTCAGTCTGAATTGGGGCGACCTTGAGGCCTAAAAGTGAAATTTTCATTTTCGAGTTTATTTTTTAATCATATCAAACTATAAGGTTATTACCAATGAAATTCTTAAATTCAATCCAATCCCCAAACGGAAGTACACCTACCAGTTTTCGTAATTGTTTTAATTGAAAGAGTGAAAATTCGTGTAAAACGTTGTTCCATACATTGGTGCAAGTTTGTTTATAATGCTCAAAATCCATCCACGAAAGGTTGGTGCCGCCTTAGACTGGGGGCTTCATAAATAACCCTTATTTTACTTTCTTTACTTACTTATTTTTTGACGTACGTAAAACTAACGCGCCTACGCAGTCACGTAAAAACTACGCGATAGTATAATGCTCAAAATCCATCCACTAAAGGTTGGTGCCGCCTTAGACTGGAGGCTTATTAGAAAGTTTCGAATACTAAAGATAGAGAAATCAATAACAGTACTATACATACACAACAAAGCATATTTATCTAGTCTATAAATAAGCTCAACACTCAGTTTGCGAAGCAAAAGGGCAGACTATATGTTTGCTCAAAATCCATTAAATTACCACTAAAGGTTGGTGGCTTATTGTTGCCGCCTTAGACTGAGAGCCTATTAGAAATATTTCGAAATTATAAGAAATTTACGACTACAATAGATAAATGAAAAACTTAATTACAGCACTGTACATATACAGTATGATGTCCGTAAAAAGATACTAAAGACGCGTAAACTACTTTTTTTAATTAACAAACAACATCAGAAAAGAATGAATTCAGTCAGTTTGCGAAGTTTTAGGGTAAAATATGGACGATGTCTGAAAGCAAACTTCAGTACTTACCAACGCATTTGCGGCCATTTCCAGAATATCCAGCTTTGCAAGTACATTTGTATGAGCCCACGGTATTCTGGCAAGCAGCATTCACATTACATCTGTGATAGTTAGTCGTGCAATCGTCAATTTCTGAAAGAAATCACGGCCCTTCATTCACTCACATGTTCTATTGTTGATCGATGACATTGATACGTGTATATTTTCTAAAATGATATTCTCAACTTGAATTCATACAAAAACTCTTGAAAAGAAAAAAAGGAAATTTCTTTGAATTTGTCAAACACTGGACACAATGCTTTCATCTCTCGTTATGACACCTTAACAACTGTCGAATAAGCTCGGTCGCGTGCCCATTTTTTCCTTGATATATTCGGTCAGGTTTGACACATAAACTGAAGCAAAGTTAATAAAAGTGGAGTGGCTTCGAAGCCCTACAAACGTCTTTATAATACCAGTATATATGTTTTTTTTTTTGGTTACCTTTTTCGGACTTGACCGACGTTGTGAAAAGTTCAATACCATTCCTATCATTTTGATTCTGTCACCAATAAAATCGTAGCCTGTGTACAGACGCCCTCCTCCCCTCAAAAAAAGGGGGAGGGGGCGTCTGTACACAGGCTATAAAAACATCGCATTGATTTATTCATTCGCATTTTGTGAGAAAATAAAAGAAGATAGCTACCAACATAAACTGCAGCACCTTTGTTAAAATCTTAAGCTTTGATGCCGTTTGTCGGCTTTTATAACCAATCTCCTCTACTAACTATGACTGAAAGATAATACTACATTCATGCGCGTTTACATTAGATGGCTTTTTTGATGTTTTGGTTACATTCCTGGCATGAAATATTGAAGTAAGCCACAACCCTTTACAGAAGATAAGATTCCCTCAGGTGCCAACTAACAGATCATTTAATGTAAATTGTAAAACGGACCTGATGACCTCTTTTACCTTGAACACAAGTATAGTTATAGCAGTTATCGCAGGAAACATCGTTCCAAGTGTAGCCATCATTGGCACCCAGAGTGTGAACACAGTCTTCGTTTTTCCAGTTGTTTGGTTGTTGCGGAGCCCAGAACCGAAAACTGGTTATTTCCTTGCTTGTCCAGACAAATGATCCCTCAACGCTTCGGTCATTAAGTCCAATCCATGATCGCTCTCCATTATCACGGTGCTGAATGAAGACATTTTCCTCTTGGTTGTGTACTGTTACCAGATATGAGTTCATTGCTGAACAGTTGGACACAGCAGTCACCCAAGGTGCGCATACAGAGCTTGATAAATAGCAGTATCCATTGAAGTAATCCCATCCAGATGGACAGATGTCTGCGCGTATACAAAGTAGGAATTTGTGAACTGCATATAATCATATCGCTTAAAATGTATAGCTTTACGTGCAGTTATGTGCTTCGAACATTTTTGTTATTTCCGCTTTTGCGATTAAAAAAAGAAATGGAAAAGCAGAAGCTTTGTGTTCAGGACAAAATAAAGGCAATACATAAGACAAAAACTACTGCAAGCTTTATAAAGCACTCCATTATACAGTCACATTAATATGTATTTGGAAAAAAGGGATGAACGCTGTTTTTCATCATCACCCGAATGCAATTTTTTTTATTTCCTCCAGTTTTTGTGCATTCCTTTTGTGTATTACTTGTATTCTTTTTTTTTATTTATTCAGAGACTTGTAAGTACTGAAGTTTATTAGTTTTGAAGCAGTGGAGCACTTACCTGACAACACTGTGTACGTTACTGACAGTGGGTCATATTTTGCTTCATATAATTCTTTGACACAAGCACGAAAGCCTGTCTTGTTGATGTACTGCAAGAAAGGGATGTTTATCAGCTCATTAAGTAGTTCACACAGACGGCTGACGGCGTTTTTTCTCCCTTGCTTGTAGAAAAAAACTATAGAACAGTTCAGGTAGGTGTTCACTAGAAAGACTTTCCATATTTCTCAGATTGACACATGTTAAGAAGTTTGCATGACAGGGCTTCAAAGGGAAGAGGAAAGAGGACAATTGAGTGCAAGTTATTACATGTCAACAACTTAAACCTCTCATGCGATAATTGCTATAACTGCTGCCAAACTTCAAATGTTTGGCGACGAAATTATTATGTCGTGCACGGGAAAGTAGACCGCGCGGGTCAAGGAAACAGCAGATAAAAATAACCTTCATCGCACGCGTGCGAACTTTCAATAGATTCCAAATAATCATCATGGGGCCCAGAAATTCGCTCTCTTAGCTCATTCTCGCTTGCTTAACATCAAGTTTAGTTTTCCTATTGCTTTTTGTTGACAACATTTGTCTCCCGGAAAAACAAAACAGCGGCTTACCATCTCCTATACTGCTGCACAGCTTTTTAAAACACAATTTTAACAACTTTCCATAATTCATGGCTATTTTACTAGGGTTTTGCCTGATCGTTAGTTAAACGGATAAAATTAAACTTTTCTGCTGTTTTCCGCTCGTTTGGCGTTTTATAAGCTGTTATTCTCAATAGGACGCTATCTGTATTGTAAAATAGAGAGTGTTAATTACAGTCATTCGTATTTTGAAATTCATAAGGTTTTTAAACATGCACACAACACATGTAAGTGTGGTTGCAAGTGGTATGTTACAGAAATTCATAAAATAAATGAAAAAGTAGATAAATAGATAAATAAAAACATACCTCTACCCACTCAGCTATGCTGTTATGAATTGGACTCTGACTTCCATTTTTGGTGGAATGATTGGCAGAAACAAACACATGTGGAGTTGAGTTATGAACTTTAGCAAAAGTAGCGTCCTGTGAAAAGAAATTACATAAATGTAAAAATTCAGTCTCTGACATTTATATAAAGGTAAAGACTTGTTCCGCATTAGGGCATTTATAATCTATATTTCATTTTCATTTTAAATATTCACTGAAATATGACAGACAGCCTGATAAACTGATTAAATGCAACTACCATCACTAGAGACATGATAGGGGAACCGTTTTCTTTTGCTCTCTGATAGTAAATTTATTCAATAAAATTAACTGCACTGTGACGGGAATTGAAATCCAAAAGACTAATGAAAGGACTGGAATACTGACCTTGCAGAAGGCATTATAGTGACTCTGCGCGGGAGGTTTATCATTCGAAAAGTAAATCGAATTGTGTTCTGAGAAGGGAGGCTCGTCAAGATATGAAAACGCTAACCAATTCTGAAATAAAGTAAATAAATAAATAAGAATAGAAAGAAAGAATTCTTTTTCAGTCTCACGTCCTAACTACCAAAAGATTGTGTCAACGTCGAAAATAAAATATAAATGGTAATCTCTCAACAAGGTTTATATAAAACAGCCACCGACATCTTAGGTTATAAGAAAGCAATAACATGGTCAGGTTGACATAGCCGGATGAAGAGGAAAGAGATGGAGGGAAATATATTTTCAAGCAAAAAATCGTGCATCTCTGCTGGACCAACTTCTGGAAGCGTAAAAAGCGAAAAGATGAGATGGAGAAAGATACCAGTCTGCTGCACTTAGTTTCCAACGAAAAACGCTGTTCGTTCGATTCCATGAGATTAGCGTTACTTACAACAACAACGTCTTGGTGTGATCCAGCGTAGTTTTGCAATTCTCTCAAGCAAACTTTGCAGGATGATTGTGTGACATCTTCAATCCATATGCTTGCTGCGTCACGTTTTAATCCTGGATTGTAATGCTTGGCAGTCACAAATACCGACGGTATCACAGAGAATTTTCCCTGAAAAATAAATGCGAGTTAGGCAACTCTCAACTCTTAGAAAGCTACGAACAGGAATTAATTTCGTATTTTTGCAAAAAGGAACCCATGACATTTGTGATATGCTGGAAATTGGTAAAAGAATAATTTGTACTACAGTGACATTGTTCGACTATTAATTGGTAATAAGTGTACGGCTGCACCAGAACGACAAATCACTGCTGATGCATATTGAAAACGATCTGTTATTAACTGAGTGAACTCAGTAGAAGTGAGGCGTTTCAAAAGATATGATCTTGAAAAGAATGAAAAGGACAAGAAAGCCCAACAAAGGCCACTCACTGTAGGAAACCTGACAGTCGCACAAGTCGTACCAGTCCACCACTGTGACATGCGCACTTCACCAGTCACGCCGCCCACTGGAGCACCTTGGTACGCCATCCAATCAACTGTCACGTTAGCATACGACTTTCGTTCATTATATCCTGCCGCCATCACACAAGCAGTGAATCCGTCGTTATTCACATTTTCAACCCACGATACTGCCGCGTCATGGACATACGATTTGTCACTGGTATCCATATGATTGACAGTTATCTGCACTTGAATGGGTTTGTCAGGGTAAAACACAAACGGTTTGAAATGAATGGCATGACAGTGAGAGTAGCCCAAGGATGGAATATGTGGCATGTGACGACGACCACGCTGAAAAGGAAATCCTAGAAAACACATTTCAAGATGAACTATAGATTAATATGACAAGCATGCGGAGCAAAGGGCATTTACCCAGAACTTAAAAATGCTAACAGAGCAGCAAATGAGTGGTTCTAATAAAGAGGGTTGTTACTCTCTACTATACAAGTCCAGGGAAACTTCACACCGGACAATGTATCGCTTGTCACTGCATTAGGTAAATAGCATGGCAAGCAGTGGAGAGATTAGAACTTGCATTCTGAGCAGAGCTACACGGTGGCAAATGGTCAAGCCTATAAGCGCTAAAGGAAAGGAAAGTGAACATTCACTGTAACTACTACTTCGCGCAAAGAAAAGATTCAGTTCCAGATATGCTTAAAAAAATATAACTCTAGGAAAGGTTATCCAAATATGTCAGGCAGAGCTACGTCCGGGTACGAAATGCAAACGATTACTGCTACTACTACTACTACTACTACTACTACTACTACTACTACCAGTACTACTACTACCACTACCACTACCACTACCACTACCACTACCACTACCACTACCACTACCACTACCACTACCACTACCACTACCACTACCACTACCACTACCACTACCACTACCACTACCACTACCACTACCACTACTACTACTACTACTACTACTACTACTACTAATCTCAGAGAGAGAAGAATCAGTTTTAAATTTCTTTCAGTGATACATATATAAAAAAAACAAATATTTTCGTTGAGCATTAACTTAAAATGCTTAAATATAACTGTATCCGCCACTTTTTCTGACCAGTATTCTTATTAGCATTGCTCCTGTGCATGACAAACGTTTTAGCAAAATTACGTAAAATTCTGTACTTCCATAAAGTCATGCATCTATCGCCGTTTTTCCCTCCAGATTACATGGGTAAGTAAATAGCTCATTCGAAAAATTCACTAAGGGATTAATACTGAAATCTAATAAAAAGAAAAAATCACTTTTTAACAGATTCAAAAACAAATGTACTAACCTTCACAGCTGCCAGGATGTTGCACGGTTAAGTTTAGTCGATGTAGACAAACTTCTCTTTCAAACAAACATCTGTTGTCGTACGTTGTGCCATTTGATGAGCAAACGGGTTCTTTGTAAGATGGGCAGCTATCCACACATACACAGCGTGCATCATGGGGTCCAAACGCCTTACAGAAGCTGTAATAATAACACGTAACGTCTATGCAGGGATCCAAGTCTGAAGATAATTAAACAAATAACAACAGATGGATTTAAAGCGCCCATAACTTAAAAAGATAAGATGATAAGATGCATTGCAGGTAGATGCAACAACACTGGCGACTCTAAGAAAAGGATAAGAATGCATATGATCCCGTTTTTCAGCTCAGTCAACCAAATCTACAATCCCCAAAAATAGAGATAACAAAAACATAGCATCAATTAGAGAAAAAAAGCTCTCCATGAAACAACTTCAAAAGATTCATGTCATAAAATGTACTTGATACACTGCAGCATACAACCTTTACCAAGGGTTTTGATATATTGTTTACGTACCTCCAATCACCAGGTAATCCAGTTGTACGATGTCCTTATAATTGGCGTTATTGCTGTATCTTCTCATACACACCTCGGTTTCGTTTGTAAAGGTATGCTAGACACAATCATAAGAAGTATCAGATTATCAATCATTAAGCATCATCAGGTATTTTCTTACCTTAACTGCTATGTCACTACCAAAGGTCGTTTAGAAAGCGAAACCGTGGCGTGCACAGGTTGGTTGGAAAAATTGTGAAAAAAGAAGACAAAAAAAAACTTTTTTGGACTCCTTAAACGACGTGAAAAATTGAAACAGAGACAATTCTAAAAGTAAGTTCGAAGGGAAGAGATAAGAAGGCAGCCTAAGGACGCAATGGGCTAAGAAAAATGGCTCCAAGTTTCATATGTTACCTGAATCCACACAGTAACTGCGTTACAAGTTCCAGAAGCCGAGAAACGGGAGTTGTTGTTATGGTAACTGAGTCTTGGTGAAACCATTACTATCGGAGGGGCATAGAAAGCATCAGTGAACTTTATTATCTATAAAAAAAAGAAAAGAAAAGAATCAGCGTTATTAAGTTTTTCTACACATATGCGGTATATGATATATGTTGTTTAAATAGTTGACGATATTTTCTGTTTATGAATATAAGTGACTGAGAAACCAAAACAGTATAGTTTATTAGTTACTTTACCTGACAGAGGGCCTTGCTTTGTTGCTTGTTTAATTTTAGTGGTGAGTTATTCTTTGTTGTTACAAGGCCATGGATCAAGGTAGAATTCAGCGTCATGAGCTTAACAAATGCTATCCAGTCCTGAAGGACAAGTGAAAAAGTGTTAACAATGTTATCAATATATTCTTTCTCAAGTCAAGGTTGTTTCTAAGAGACTGGGAGCCCATTGCTCTAAACCTGTGTAAATCACAGGGTACCCAACATAGGATCTAGGATAGGATGAAAAAAGCTACGATTTCCTAGTAGGCAAAGAGCAAAGGTAGAGCTCAGAGGCAACTGGGTTCTGCTAGGGCACAGCCCCTGTAAGTTGCAGCAAGGGAGGAACCGCTTGGTTGTCGCGTGAGTCTACTTTCAAACATGTAACAGGTAACAAAAGGAATTCACTTACCACCTTGATGTTTTTATGCAGACCATCATAAATCTTAGTTTCCCTGAGGCAAACCTTAAAACTGTCTCTGCGTACATCCTCTACCCACAATGCCAAGGCGTCCTGAGGTCTCTTGAGAATTTGGTGACGAGCTGTTACGTAGATGCTCGGAGGAATTGAGAAACGCTGAAAAAGTAAAAGAGAAGAAAACAAATAATCAATTACATTTCTTTTTCAAACAAACAAGGGTATGATATAAAACGAGGGAAGTGTGATAGAAAAAATCATTTTGAACTTGAAAGAAGCAAATTGCATGGAATTTCCTGGTGCAGATGAAAAACTAAGAACAGTTTTAAGAAATAAAAACAGAATTTGCAAATCAGCAAATAAAATGATAATCATGAACTTGGCAACGTAGTCACAAAAGGAATCGAAATATAGACTTTCTCACTAAATTTTTTAGAGTAAAAATTAGCAAAAATATGAAGATTGTTAAACCTTTTTAAAGATGTGTTAATGTAAATAAAAAAATTGACATGACCAAGAAAAGTGGAGGACAGATTGCAAGATAACTTTGATGGAAGAAAATAGAGGTAGCAATATATGTCAGATCTTGGTAAACAAATAAAGAATCGTATTTTATGATGCAACAATGTTATATCGCATGACTTAAAGATATAAGGAGGACGTCAAATGGAAAGTCTGCAGCTCCTACGAGCTAAATAAAGAAAGAGGAAGTTAAAGCCAATTAGTCAAGCAAAGCTTAAAAAATGACGTAGTGAAATCTTGTGTCTAGGTTTGAGCAAACAGAAATACCTAGTAAATGAGTAAGAACTATTAACTTAACGAAAACGCAAGGGGAAACAGAGGTAACCTTTTCAAAGGCGATCCTTTTACACTTTTCTCCAGTAGTCCAAGAATCCAACGAGATTGTGTCTAGTTGAGCGCCAACAGGAACAGATTGCAGCGCCATCCAGTTCACTTTCGCAGTCCTACTAGAACCATCTCCGTACTCCAAAACACAAACTGTAAATTCTTTATTATCCACAGATTCCACCCAAATAGCCGCGCCATTTCCACCACTATAACTGTTTGTTGTGTGGCTTTTGGAAACGAAAACTTTCACATCCTGCCCGCCATTGAAAGTATTCTCAAAGGAAACCTTTTCACACGCAAACAGACCAGGAGTAGTAATGGTGAAATTGCATATTCCAGTTTTGATACTCAGCACTGGGAAATACAAAAAGTAAAAATAATAAAAATAAGTTGCAAAAACGAAATACAGGGATGAATATTCTCTTTTATACCTTCAACTTCTTGGTAGGAAAGTGCAGCTACGAAGAAGAAAGCCAACAACAACTGCACACGGACTTCTTGCTCGGTACACATCTTGCTTCGAATGAAGAAAAATCCACTCTGTTGAACATTATACCTCTTAGCAATACGTGGCAATATAGTCCAACTTGTTTTTACGCGTTTAGTAGATCTCATTCGCTTTGTTTGGGGGGTTAGGGGGTAAAGATCTTTGAGGTAGTCAATTGTAAGATTTATGCGGAAACTGAGAAGGGTAGACACGTGGGTCCAATCACTGCACTGTCACCACTACCGTGGCGATGTATTGAAAAATGCAGGGGAAGAGGTTCCTCTGTTCTTCTGTTTCCTTTAGGTCCTAAAATTATGTTTTCAAAATATAATTTTAGGACTTAAAATTTTAACTTTGAAACGCTTCCAGTTGATCTGTCAGGATATTTTATACTATATATAATAAAGGCAAAAAACACAACAACCCACTGAGGAATACGGGAATTTGTGTGAACCTAGAGCACTTATAATCTTGAATAAAAAATAAACCGAACGAAGATTATATCATTTGTTTTATGTGGCCCAAAATTTCACGGACAGTTATTAGATGAGGTCTCAGCCACGAAATTGATAGCCGATTTCATCATTTCCATGATGCAAGCCTTACTGAATTATTTTGAATCCGAAAAATTAAATTATTTACCCCCGCCACAAAAAAAGTTAATATTTTGATTTAAAGATAATCTAGGGCGAATCTCGACCACAGAAAAGTGTATTTTTTTCTCCTTTCCATACTTTGATGATTAAGTCTTACGAACACGCACATTCCATCGAACTCAAGCGGGCAGGAAGGTTACATCTTGCCCCCGCATGCAGGTGTAGCTTGTTACATACAGCGAAGAGTTTACATCACCCTGGCCAGTTAACAGAGCAAGCAGTGAAGCAAGAGATATTCATTGAAAACATTTGCGAGTTAGTTATGTGGCATTAACAAGTTGTTCAGATTTGCATTTCAATATTCAGTTTATCGAGTCCGCACACTTTTTTATTCCCTTGTATGTATATTTAGCTTGCTTATAATTTCTGAATATTTGCTTAAAATTAAAATTTTCATGGCTTTTATTAGAAGCAACGTTTTCGTCGAGAAATTAACCAAAGTATTAAAAGACAAACACTTTCCTCTTACTTTTGAATGCTTGATATTGATACGCTGAATTTCATTTACCCATTTCAGACCAAGACAATTATACTGAGATCCGAAAATTGTAATCAGGATACTTGATTAAAATTTAGTTCGCATAAGATCACACAACGATCGTTAGAATTCTGCTTAGTCAGCGTGTTATACTCTGAAAAAAAGAAAGAAATTTCAAGGACTCGGTACTGTATTGCTTCTAGTCGTATTTGAGCCTCGAGGGTAAAAACCTTTATTGTTTAGACTCATAGTGGTCCTCTTAATTGTCCAACCTCGACTAAATTTAATGTTTCGCTATAAAGTTTGCGATTCAAGGGAATTATCCTCTTTCGCCGTATTTCTCCTTTATAGCGACCTCAACATAGGTTGTTACCCCATGTCATATGAAGACGAACGACTTCCGCTAGACAAAGGTAAATAACTATTCTCGTTCCAACGCGTTGTCTATCTCAGAAACCATGAAAGGGTCCAATGATTCCGTTATTTTTTTTTAAAAAGGTGGAATATTGGTAAAGATAACCATGGGATACAAAATGTGCGTTCAAAATCTTAGAGTTATTCTTTTCAGTGGTAAATCCAAGATATACCGGAGTTAATTTTCCCCTTTTTACAGATGTTTATTTTGCATAATGACAACATGGCAAAATATGTAAGAATCACTGCCTAAACATTTGCTAAATTTCTGTTAAAAGATAATGTGTAATCTAATTTCCGTTCCTTTTTTCTATTACAATATTATTGTGAATTAAACTTCCTCTTTTGGGCTAAAAAAAATTGATTATTGCAGATTATAGTGATAATTACCCGATTTATATATTTGTGTGACATACAGGACATTTGGCTAGACCGTGGATATATATTACTTGGTATGAAAAGTGAAAATATGGGAAAACCGCTGTAAAAAAACCTCCTTGATCTATGAGCGCTTTACATTAGGTATAAATGTCGCTCATTTCTATCGTCAATACAACTAATATAAGCAGTGAAAATCACAGTTATACGGCTGGTTGTCCCTCAAGATACCACTCACCTCATGATCACTTCCTTATATCTCTGTTTAGAACTTTGTAATAAAACGAAGAATAACCTTCGTCTTAAGTTTGTCGGACAGGCTGATAGCCTGAAAAATTAACCTAAACTTTCCTGGTCAGAACTAATTTTCGGACGTTAAGTGTAGTCATTTCATCACGCAGTCAAGAGTATACAAAACGTCACGGTGAACTCAACCTGTAATATGCTCATTTTATGCGTTGAAATCAAACATTTGTTTAGTCACGAAAAAAAATTCAAATTTAGGGTATTTTCACCATGTCAATTCAACGCGCCATTTACTCATCGGCTTTTTTTCTCGAACTAGATGTCAGTCTAGATTCCACAACGTTTTGAGTCATTCTACTCCGGTAAAAGATTGAAAGTGTTTGGTGTTTCAAATATAAGTTAACAAAATGCAAAAAAAACCGGTGAAAAAGTTTTTTGTTTACAAATGCAAATTAAGCTTAAGTCTTGCGTTACTTTATTTAGTTGACTTGTTCATAAATAAGCTTAAAACTAAATTTAATAATCTTTTTTACAGAATGATTTTAAATACAAAAAGAATTCACAACTCCTTCTGAAGAAATTTCCCCGCAAGAGCTAAACAAATACCTTCAAAAGTTTTATTTGTCGCCAAGAAAAAGCGACGACCGCGGTCGTTCGGTCATTGCGCGCCAAAATTGTAATCGTTGGCAACAGTAAATGAGTTGAAAATCATCCATTTTGTACTCAATTATCTCACTGTTTTAGTATATACTAAAACAATTATTCACCTCAGTGTCGGTGGCTAGTGGTGAATATTTACCTCGCCGCTTCGTGGCTTCGGTAAAAGTTACCACTAGCCACCTCCACTTCGGTGAATAATTATTATATATTATTAATTGTGGATCCAGTAACAAAATGAAAATTTTACAAATCGATTAATCTGTGAAAACACTTGAAATTGCTAAACAGAGATGCAAACGACTCCTCATGAAATGCAGAGGCTTCCATCCTAGAGAATAGAGTTTATTTTTGTAGACTAAGAGTGTTCGCAATTAATGAATACATATGGGGAGGCTCTGTCCGAAAAGGCCCGGTACTTTTTACAGGTTTCAGGTACATATCAGTATGTGAATTATGCCATATGGGTAATTGAAAGGGCCACTCGTTTTATGGCCGTTTTCCCCCTTGTATCGTTACATTAACTTTCTCAAATTATGGGGGCTTAATACATATAACACGATCGCATGACACACGATCGTACACTGACAGTCGCACCACGAAAAAAACTCCTAGTGCTTCAACATGAATCAATCAATAATACAACACTCTTTCGTTTCGCAACGCGGTAATGGTATCAATGAGGAATGTGCAATTACAGTCGAACTATCCGTAAGGCCACCACCCAAAATGAGAAGATTTAATGGATCGCTTACGAAAATCAAACCGCAATTGTCTCTTTCGAGAAGAGGTGCCGAAACATCTACTTTTTGGAAGAGAACTTATTGCCTGGTTATGATGCGCGTTTTTCCATGTTGCTTCTAACAGTTCTTCTTATAGTCTGAGTAGCGTATTACGTACAGCAAACTTACAGATCATTCAGTGTGTCTAGTGTGTCTAGAGATTAAAAGTAATGGGAAATTACGTAACCGTCACCCCAAATAGTGGTAGTTTACAAGAGGTTTTAACGATAGGGCTTCCAGTGGAAAAATTTGGTGTTTCGGTTCAGTCGCTTATGGGAGTTGGTAGACTGAAAGCAGTCTCTTTTTTCTCTTTTGAGTCACAGTATATCGAGAGAACGCGTGAGAAGGGATCCGGGGGGTACGCCCTAGAATGAGCCGTATGCGGAAGCTCCACCGAAGGGGTCACCTTTTTTCAGCTTCACTAGTACATAAATGGGTAGGGATTTCACCAGTAGAGGTATATGGAAGGGTAAGGAAATCTCCTGTTCGGTGTGTAAAGGACTAAAAAGGTTAGCAGACGGTTTTTAAAGGCTTTGTAAAAGTCAAGAACCACTTTCTGCTTTAGTGATAGCGAAGCTGCACGCTCGCGTGAAGCGTAAGCGCACGTGAACGCCCTATACCTAAAAAAGATTGGTAATCCATCCGAGAAATTTTGGTAATCACGTGACTGTACGCCCGTCCGACCCTCCGTCCGTCTGCACCACAGGTATACCAATGTAAAATAACTCAATTAACAGGTATGACACCACAGGCAACTCGAGGTGTTTCGGCGGGAAATTGCATGGCCACCCGGACTTTTAGAGAGAACAAACAACAACAAAGTCGAGTATTTTTCGAAGTTATTTTTGATCTCTACACTCACGTGGATAACAGAGAAAGAGCTAGCGCGAGTGACTAAAAAAAAAGGCGACGAATTTCGTTGGAAGAAAAACATGAAAATTTCATTACGGCGGTGAGAAAATGAGAAATGCTAGTGGCCAGCAAGGTGAAAATGAGCGGCAGTGAAATAAATAAAAACCGAGCAGGAACACAAGCAAGAACATTTTTGGTGAACGACAATTCCTCCATAAAAAATTATGTGTAACTTGGAAGTTTCACGTTTTAGTAGTGCAAAACGGCAATGTAGTCGTGCAACACAAAGGACGTGCAAATTTGTTTATTTTGCTAATTAGGGGTGCGTTTCTTTTGTAAAATCCAGATCCGGATTCTTAATCCGAAAACGGATATTTCGTTTCTTTACTAGAATCCAAAAACGGATTTTTGATCCAAATAATCCACAACGGAGGTGGATTCTTTGGATCATATCCAAAAGCGGATAATTTGGATACAGGATCCGAAGTGTTTTTTTACCGCAGATCCGAAAAGAGTGAATACTGCCAGCGGTAACTCGAAACAATTTTAATACATACATCAGGACCCAGTTGTTCGAACGCCGGTTAGCGTTAACCCGGGGTTAAATTTTCACCCGGGTTTCTTTTTCTTTTTATCAAAAGCACTCTCTCGGATTATTTTCTCATTCTTTTTACAGTATCCAATCATCAACTTGTAGGCAAAGAGAATTCAACTGAATTGGCTTTTTAAGCTCTCACATCTGAGTTCAAATTTTGCACCAACCCCGGGTTATCTTAACCTGGCTTCGAATAACCCGGCCCAGCTTTTTGACAACACTGCTCAGTTACAGGCCATTTTGGAACCCGAGGCATGGATTAAACGATCGATTTTATCCGTTTTATCGGGGTGGTAAAATCGCAATACAAACAGGCCCTGCATTGTTCTAGTTCACAAGAAAAAAATTGCTGCTCAACTTCGCCCGCGAGTGTTGCAAGACTACTTTTCCAGTAAATATCTTATGGCAAGACTCGGTGCTTCATTTAGCCCTTCTAAAGCAGTATCCTTGAGATAATCGTCCAGAATACAATCAACGAGTCAGCAGCCGTGTTATTCTTTCGCCGAGATACCGTCGATATTGTGGGTCCTTTCTTTGGAAATGAATGAATAATAATACTTTTTTGAATAGAACGTTTCTTCTCTTAACGAAAAATCCTAACGATCCGGATTTTGGATCGGATCTTGGATTTTAGTAAAGAAACACACCCTAGATCTATTTATTTTGTTGCCCGCGTTCTCATTACCGTCGCCGTTTAGCATTACACGATTTCATTTTTTTGTTTATAACGAGAGATTCGCTATTAGCCCTGGCTAAATCCATATATTTTATTCATTCATTTTATTCAAGAACACTTGGAGTTGGACTTTGGAATGGGAGCTCAAGACCCTGCAGCAAACCTTGGGAACCGTTTAGAAGCTGGCCTAGCCTGCGTAGCAGGCGCTTGGAAGTAGCGGGCGCGAAAGAGAGAACGGGCGCGCGCGAGGGAGACACGCAAGGGGTGAGGGAGCGCCTGCACGGAAGGCCCCCGAAAATCGTTTCAACTCGCACTCTGTGAGTGCGGATATTTCCAATTGGTCGAGAGGCTCCCGAGGGAAAAATTAACCGCGCGGGGCGAGAAAACTGTCAATCAATAGTACATGGACAACGTAGTGAAGATCTTGCATTATACCATTAGCTCCCGAAAACACTAAATTGTATACAATCGAAGTTCAGGTCTCGGAGGTTACTTCAATCTGGTTTAAAGGGACTATGTGGCTGTAATCTCAAAGAAAAGTTGGAGTGTTCAAACGGTATTCACGATGGAAAGAATTGACATCGGATACGCATCAACAGAAGTGGCGAGAGACAAAAGAATTGTCGAATCGTTGCAATGAAGATCAGAGGAAATATTCTTTGCTCAGGAGAACCTGACGGCTTGTGCTGTCGATGGAACGTATACCATCAAAACTTGGACATGATTGATGAAATGAAACACTTACCAGGGACATGAATTTGAAAAAAACATTTCACTATTGTATTATTCGCCGTTCCGAGGCGACCTGAGGTCTGCTGTTTATGTCTCATTACTACAGTAGAAAACATGTCGGTACAGTTTGTGTTCTGAGGTTTAGGTCCGCTTAGTAAGACATGTCTGCTCCAAAAAGGGCTGCCAGTTAGCGCAGTAAAAGCAATATGGTCATTTTCCACGTACGCTGTGATCGTTGGTGTTTGACCAGAACAATATTTTTAGTTTTTATAATACACAGCATGCATTCTTTAAAAGATACCCAGTTTTGACTTTGTTATTTCCTATTTATTGTGCCCATGTTAAAAAACGATTTAAAGCTGTGTGTTAACCATCAGTTTATTGCTCCATCGCTCTATAATCAGATAAGACCCAGCTGATCTTTATAACAGATATATTTAGACCGAAGATAAAATGTACAACGCTTTTTGGCGGCTTGCTTTGTTTCTGCGAGGTCAGTCGTTTTCTGTCAAAACTTTTGACAGATCACGCAACGGCTGCCAAGTAATTAGAGAGGGGGCGGGAAACGATTTTCGGTGGCCTTCCGTGCAGGCGCTTCCTCTCCCCTCGCGTGTCTCCTTCTCGCGCGCCCGTTTTTTCTTGTGCCCACTACTTGCAAGCGCCTGCTACGCAGGCTAAAGCTGGCCCAGAACAGAGAGTAGTGTTAGCCTGCGTAGCTGGCGGTATTGAGTAGTAGTCGAGTGAGATTTGGCGGCGGAGCCGTTGTAATATGGTCGAGTGAGATTTGACGGCCTTTAATCTCGCACCCACACAATACCGCCAGCTACGCAGGCTACAGGAGTGTCGATCCTTTGTTGCCGCCCTACATGCCTGACGGCATTCATGGGCATGAGTAAGTGAGTAATTGAGTGGGTTAAAAGACAGTGCATTCATAGCAGTTAAAAGGGATGCCGTGCCCTAAACTAGGTATGTGAAAAGGGGCACCATTTGTCAATAGAAATTATACGGAAGGGGTACCTTTTCTGTCCAAAAATGGTCTATCAAAGGCCAAGGGGTTGAAACTCGAAACGGAGCCTCCCGGATAAAACATAATTGGTAGCCCCGTCCCTCCGGTAATGGGAGCGGTGAAGTCGCGAGGAACGAGCCAAAACTAATTTGCGCGTGGCTCTAAGGAGTTCGTGCCACTGTTCACCCTAGACAGTTTGGCATGCCTGCTTAATATATTGGAACTTTAATCACGTCCCTTAATTCAAACGATAGTCCATCCTGGGGGGTCAGTAGCAACTACTTACGGAAGCAAGATTTACTATGAATTTTTTCATCAATCTGGATCATCACTTATGTCCTGTCGATCGGTGAAGGAGGGAATGGAGAATCCTCTGGGAAATAGGCGAGGAACACGCATATAATAACAAGCATGCTATGGAGCTAGTTTGACCACTGCAGTAGGCTTAGCCTGCGAAAACATCCGTTTCTCCTCGCTCTTCGCCGCTTGGGACGTTTCGCGCGAAACGTCCCCAGCGGCAAAAAGCCAGGAGAAACGGATGTTTTCGCAGGCTACAGTAGGCTATCTACGTTAAATTGCATATTTCCATGGTTTGGGGGTAAGAATGAAAGCCGACACTATTGAATCACCTACTTTCTTAGTTTTTATTGTATCTAATACCATGCCATTTAATACAGTACCTCTTAGTAGTTCTTAACTTAGTTCCTGGTGTTGAATAATGCCGACGCATTAAGCTTCCTTAAAAAACAAAACCCTTAAACTTTGAGGAAGACTTTCGTTATGGTGACTTCCTATCGCACAAAGACTTTCCAAAAATCGCCACGTGACACTCCCACACCATAATCGTCGCAGTCCCACCTGCCAGACGGTTGAAGAAGCCAGTGGTAAGCTGAGTATTTAAAAATAGCGTGGTCGTATAATCTGTTCTGATCTCTCTCGTGCCCCCATTTGCCAACTTTGTAAGAACCTCTTTGGTATCCCCAATCCTTGCAGACTGTTGCTAACCGCGAGTTATCATCGCTCATGATCACAAACGAGCCACAAGAGGCGGGCATCACATCTGTCTCACCACTGAAGTATTTCACAGCAGCCTCACCTTTGCTGTTAGCAGCCGTGGTGATGTGAAATGTACGACCTCCTCGTTTCTTGCAGTAAAATCTTATCTGAGTGAAATGCAAGTGCTTCCTCAGCTCCTTCATGGCACTCTTTGTGAGTAACATCTCTTTGCTGCTTACTCCGCGGTACGATGTCTTAACTGGCAACTGAGTCGTTGAAGAACCGTGCGAAACAACGTTGGATACAAGAAGCCATCCCCCTGAAATTCGATAAATGTTTATCATTGGTTTATCAGTCATGTGGGCCAAAAGAAGCAGTAATGTTTAGTTCAAAATAATTCACACGGCGGAAACTCACCGTGGGCTTAATCATTGTTAAATATAACTCAAGCGAACTGTACAGTACCGCAACTGATTCCGACCGTAAACGATCCTCAGACCGCAAATGATCCGCAAAATGGACCGCAAATGATCCTCGACCTAAAGTGATCCCCATTGTCGACCGCAAATGATCCCAAGAGGAAAATCAGAATGGCCTGGACTTAAGTTACTGGGTCATCGTGTCACGTTTATTATAGCACCAAAAGTATTAAAAATTCAACTGAATAAATTTAACAAATAAATGCCAAGACTGAAAATATAAGAAACCGTAAATATAACATAAATAAACGCAAATAAAAAAGGAAACACTTAAATGCTCAGTAAAACAATAAATCTTGCTTAATTGCTGGTTAACATTAAAGCTTCACTGGACTAAACTTCACACACTATGGTTCAATTAGATGCAATACTCTTAAGAAGAAATTGCTCAAACCCTGCCTCGTATCAACTTTAGGAAATGATAACTTTTGTAACGGCGAAAGTCTCTGAAAACGACCCCAGATAAAAGCTCGCTCTAGTACACTGAACCCCATTAAGATAATTCTTTGCTCATAGGTTCAAAATTTTCCACTTAATCGTTCCTTCGTTTCTGTCAGTTTCCCTAATGTTGTAACTGTCTGTGTGTCCAGCAGCAAAGACACGGAAAATGAATACACAGGTTTGCGCCCACAGGGTCCTTACCACTAGACACAACATTTTCACGAGTTTTACTTACTAAGCGTATTTCGAAATAAACCAAAAACCTGTACAGAGTGATAAATACAGGAGTCATATTCCGGGGTCATATTTCCCTATTTCTAAGCGTTAAAATGAAAGAAACATTTCCTTCTTAAAGTCCTTCCTGTCCGAAATCTCCACAGCAACGAAACATCAAATGCTTGAATAACGAAATGAGAAAAAAATACATTTTGTACTAAACGAAACAATTGTATTTATTCATTGTTCTACGCGATGTGCAAATTCTCAGCACATTCACCATCCATGCCTAAAACAGTATTCCAGTCCTCTACTTTTCACTCGCTTGCGGTCGACAATGGGGATCATTTACGGTTGAGGATCATTTGCGGTCTACTTTGGGAATCGTTGGCGGCACTGTACAGAACTAAGAACCCGAGACTAAGAAATTCGTGACTCGCTAGGCGGGTGCTAGTCTGAAGTTGATACTAAAACGAGGCTTATTATTCATTCAAACAGCTTCTCCATGGTAACACTTGACAGTTACAAGAAGAATTGATAAACTGATGGATTTCACGTGTCTTTTCCTCGGCAAATTCAGTATCCACTGGGATTCTTAGTCTTGAAGATATTCTTCAAGTATGAGATGTACTTTTGCTGTTTTTGCTATGTTTTTAGGTAGTAGATCAAGTATTTTTTTTCTTCGCAAAACCAGTAAAATTCTCTACCAGTACTAAAACAACTGAGGTAACTCGTACTCGGGCTTCTCTGTTTCTGTCCCTTTTGTCTGGCGATAGCCTGTACCATCGAAGTCATTAGCCGGATACTCTCATTTGGGGTGTTATCCGCCGAGGCCGAAGGCCTTCTCGATCTGCATAATTTTCGGATGATACCTCAACCTCATCCAATAATTCCTAATTGTCATACAAAGTCTATTGTTACAAGTAAGGACTAAATTATCGGTGTGAATTTTGTTCATATTTTTTGGTATTGAGAATTTCCTGAACTTACTTTAGAAAAAAATGGGTTTTCCCTAGCTTCAACTAAAACCATACCTCCGTCAGTTGTCATGTCACAATATGCCTTAAAAGGACTATTAGTCTTTCCAGGGTCAATCCAGTACTCCCCGTCGCCATTGGAGATACCTAAGTCCTTGATGTCTTTGCAGGATCGTATCGCTACAACAAAATAGATATCAACATTAGAGATCAACTGTGAAGAATGCGCCTGCAATCGTTTTCAAAGAGACTTAAAATGGTATAATACAGGTAATCGGCTTCCCGGATCTTGCTTCATTCATTCAGAAGAGCAGTGATTCCTGTTGCTGGAAGTAACTTAGAGTTGAGGCTACCAGGGAGGAAAATCATTAAAAATAATAATGCATGTGAACAGATTCCCTGGCTTAAGCCTGTACTCTAGGCTAATTCCAGTTCATAGCTAAGAATCCACGACAAATTTGTTTGCCTCAGTCTAATAAATTAAAAGCAGAGAATGCGATAATTGCGTGTTCTACTGAGATATTTACCTTTACACTTCTTGCCATCTCCCTTGTAACCAGGTTTACAGGTGCAAGTGAAAGACCCTTCAGTGTTCTTACATAACGCATTTCTGTCACAGTTATGGATTTTGCTTGTACACTCGTCGATATCTACATGAAAATCATAAAATTGCATTTATTTTACGTTTACAAGGCAAGTAAACTGATAATTCTTCCTTTACATTCTACCCTTTCAAATCTACGTTACAGATGAACGCGATGGCTTGTGTGGCCATGGTAGTGTTATAGAATTACCTGGACAATTTGTTCAAAGGCTGAATAACGCTATCCGCTAGATAAATCACCATCCAGTAAATAGCGCAGCTAGTTTCCCTAATACGTATCCACTGTGTAGTGATTTATCCGATGCAAAGTGCTATCTAAGGTTTGAACAACCGGTGCCAAGGAGAATAAATACAAGCAATGGAATGACCGCACGTGCTGGATGTATAAACTATCGTTTGGTGATTAAGAACACTTAGGGTGGATTTCCACTTCCGCGTAATATTTATGTGCGTACGCAGGTAAAATGTACGCGCGTAAATATAATAGAGGCAGTCAGGGCCCTGGAGGCAATGTATGAAAGGCCGCGTGTAAAAGTTGAGCGAGGTTCAAGTTTTACGTTTACGCACAACCTTTGATACATAGCCGTTATTTTATATACGTACTTAAAACTAAAGAGCCTACGCACGTAATATATAGATTTAGCCAGGGCTAAAAGCGAAGCTCCCATTAATAAATTTATAATTTAAATCAAACAATAAACTTGTAATCCACAAATCAGTTAACTTTAAGGGAAAGCTAAGGCTAAGTGATTTTAGAGTGAAAAAAAAATCTTACATCGAATTGATAGCCGTATATATACACCCAAAAAATAGCAATTATCTTCGATCACATTTTAGAGCCATAATGGCTCTTGATCACTGTAGATTAGGCCTGGAAAACGAATTTTTGGAAAACAAATCAGGCCGAATTTTTTGCGTTCGACAAGTTTACTTAACAAAATCTTGCCAACAACTCTGGGAGCGTGTAAACCAACATTTCATACTTTTTATACATCACATCTGAAACAGTAATATGAGGCGTTGTTTTTATCATATAGACCTCACACAAAATGCAGTATTTCACAATTTTTCAAGACAAATTGCACTCATTCAATATTCAGAACCGTACGAAGCACGCGTGGGCTTTTAGCAAAACCGTTCCAAAAATTTCCAAAATCACCTATACGGCCAGCCGGTTCTCACTTTTGACAAGCGCCAAATTTTCAGTGAACATTAAAAGAGTTACGCGCTTCAACATAATAAAGAATTTATTGTGTTTATTTTTTTTATTAAATGGTTTTATAACGATGTGTAATCTTAAAAAGCGTTTGATACGAGCAGCATTTTGAGTACTCTGCGGCAAGCGTTGTTTATGAACGACTGAAAACAAACGGCAAAGCGATTAAAATTGTAAGAGACTACTAACAATAAATAAAAGAAATGTAATTCGGTGAAACATTTACAGAGACAACAATTTTCATTCACGAAGACAAGTATTAAAGCGTCTCTAAAAATCCTTAGTCTTTAAGCTTAAGCTTAAAGCTTTTAGCCGGCTTCCTGGTGTTTACTGTTTTCAAAGATGAACTCGAGGCAAGAAAATCGCTCAAAGCTTTCTTTCTACAGCCAAAATTATAACTAAATACTCTTCGGAACGTTTTTTTCGTTCTATATGCGGAGAAAATATCGACTAAAGGCTTTTTAAAGTTCTGTAAGCTTATATATACTAGATCAGATCATTGTCTCAGATCTTTGTAGAAACGTGCATAAATTAGCCTCATAAACTGCGCTCGACTTCATGAAATTAGATATAAAAAAACAAACATACACTGTATACAATAATTGCTTAGGCTTACCATTCGAGATGCAGCTCTTGAAGGCTATAAAGTAAGGCCAGAATCGCTTGAGGGACTTTTCAACCCCCATCCAGCAAGGTAAAAACGAAAGCGATGCATCCGAAATCGGATTTCCAACTTTGGCAACCGGCGCATTTCCCGACCAAAAATTCAATAAACAAACCAGCCATGAATCAAAGAAGACTGTTGATAGCAGCTGTATTTCATTTTAAGCATCCAGTGGAAAAAGACAGTAAAAAACATTACAAGTTGACAAAATACTCTGTCAGCTTCAGCTGTCAAACTGAAAGTAAACAAGGTTGAATTGGTTCAGTCGTTTGCGATCACTACAGCCGTTCCACTGGTTATAGAGTGGTTCTTCACGTGTTTAAGTATCGAGACTCGGCATCAGAACAGGCCAATTATAGCAGTCTGGGGAAGCCAGTGGAAGATACACTAACAGTGGCCATAGTAAATACATTGCCTATAACCTTTTGGTCATGCCTTAATCTTTTGACCGCAATTGAGGGAAGATTCCCTACTGTTAACGAGTATTGCGAGATGCCATTTGGCCATTTATAGAAAAGAATTTTAGAAGTTTTAGCTGGGTTAAGCTCTAATGGTAAGAGTGTGCATGAGGGGAAACGAAAGCTTTTCTTTACTTTACTTTGATAATCCTTTCCTAATCTCCCGCCTTCCGCCAAGGCCAGAGCTGTCAATTGCAGGCGTTTGAAAAAGATAGAATTACATCGTGCAACTAGAAACAGGGTATTGCTTAAGGGAACTCTGTTGAAACTAATAGCGTTAAGTTAATGATTTAGTGTTCTGACAGATCCTGATTGGCCGCTCCAATGTTATACGTAAAAGCAAACTGAGTGCACAACAATGTCAATGTGTCTTTCGAAGGAGGATGGGAAAAGGAAAAAAAAAGGGTTTACACGCATTCCCTTTTTCTCCAGAGGTGGAAACTTTCTATTGGATGAAAGGGGACAAGAGTGCCTTTACCTTGATGACGGCCTATCACGAGGATGTCAGTGCGCGCGTAAAGGTATTTGTAGCAAGAAAATTAGCTACAGACTTCAACTGAAAGGTTGTAACAATTCTGCCAACTGCATTTAGTAAAACTCTCAGCACCAGCTTGTCGTAACAGGAAAAGAAAGAATACACGGAGATTCTGTACGGGCCTGGGGCAGTTTCGGCTCCCCTCCTCTTTTATTAGCTAGTATCCACGGATTTTCGGAAACAGACTACTGTATTTGGAATCGAATGATTTATTATTCACGGTTGGAAACTGATACTTTTCTTCCATCTAGAAACAAACTACCGGCGCTCTTAGGTTCATATTAATAAATCACAGACTAGATCATGTCATCTGACTTGTAATACTGCAAATACTTCCGTTGTCAGCCATTTCATTATTTCAGCTTTATTTATCCTATCAAATGTAGTACATTTAGACGCACCGCACATGAACCTAGCAAACGGCATAATAGTTCGTTCTGACTCTAATTAAGTCAAGGCTTAAAGCACTCAATAGGTCCCGCGATAGGAGTCTCGAATAGTTCTGTTTCGATATAATTGCGCGACGTTAACGCGTTGCGCCATGCGATTTCCCGCCAAAAAATCTCTACTTTCCACTACCCGGAAAGTCCGTACGGACGGACGTACGCTACGTCATAACCAAATTTTCTGGGATGGATAGTTTACCAAATTTTCTTACCCATGGTGCTCCGCTACGCTAAAAATTACGCGACGCTGGAAAGCCACCTTTAAAGAGTGCTAGATAGATACCTCTACACTTCTTTCCATCTCCCTTGTAACGCATTTTTGTCACAGTTATATATGGGTTTTGCTCTTACGCTCGTCGACTTCGAAAAACAAAGACAAAATTATGACCTTGATTTCATGCGCCGAAGGTAATACCTTCCTTGATATTTCCTCTCGACTGTCCTTTATTAAGACATGTCAGACCTCTGGGGGCTTTTTATTGCCTTCAGTCGGAATTGGGGCGACCTTGAGGCCTAAAAGTGAAATTTTCATTTTCGAGTCTTTTTTAAATCAACTCAAACTTTTACGTTATTACCAGTGAAGTTCTTAAAGTCAAAACAAATATGTCCCCAAACGGAAGTTCGTAATTATTTCGATTGAAGGAATGAAAATTCGTGTAAAAGGTTGTTCCATACATTAGTGCAAATATTCTTTTACTGCTTAAAATTCCGATTAAATACCCACTAAGGGCTAATTAGAAAGTTTCGACCACAAAAAATCATAACAGTTGGGTGTATACACTATAAAGCATATTTATTTAGTCTATAAATAAATTCAGAACAAAGGACAACTAAGTTGATCAGTTTGCGAACAAAAGAGCAAAATATGGAAGACATTTAAAGCAAACTTCAGTACTTACCAACACATTTGCGGCCATTTCCAGAGTATCCAGCTTTGCAAGTACATTTGTATGAGCCCGCAGTATTCTGGCAAGCAGCATTCACATTACATCTGTGATAGTTAGTTGTGCATTCGTCAATTTCTAAAAAAAACCACGGTGTTTCATTCACTCACATTTCCTTTGCTACGTGCTTATTTTCTGAAATGATATTCTCAACTTGAATTCATCATAAAACTCTTGAAAAGAAAAAGCGAAATTTCTTTGAATTTTACCAAACACTGGACACAATGCTTCCACCTCACGTTATGACACCTTAACAACTGTCTAATAAGCTCGGTCGCGAGCCCATTTTTACCTTGACATAGTCGGTCAGGTTTGAAACATAAACTGAAAAATAGTTAATAAAAGTGGAGTGCCTTCGAAGCCCTACAAACGTCTTTATTGTACCAGTATATATGTTTTTTTTGGTTACCTTTTTTGGACTCATCCGACGTTGTGAAAAGTTCAATAGCATTCCTATCATTTTGATCCTTTTCACCAATAAAATCGTAGCCTGTGTACGGACGCACCCTCCCCTCAAAAAGGGCAAGGGGGGTCTGTACACAGGCGATAAAAACATTGCCTAACTTTATTCATTCGCATTTTGTGAGAAAAAAAGAAGATAGCTACCAACATAAACTGCAGCACCTATGTTACAATTTTAAGCTTTGATTCCGTTTGCCAGCTTTCATAACCAGTCTTCTCTACCAACTATGACTGAAAGATGATACTACATTCATGCGCGCTAACATTGGGTGGTTTTTCTGTCGTTTTGGCTACATTTCTAGCATAAAATATTGAAGTGAACCACAACCCTTTGCAGAAGATAAGATTACCTCAGGTGCCAACTAACAGATCATTTAATGTAAGTTGTAAAACGGACCTGATGACCGCTTTTACCTTGAACACAAGTAAAGTTATAGCAGTTATCGCAGGACACATCGTTCCAAGTGTAGCCATCATTGGCACCCAGAGTGTGAACACAGTCTTCGTTTTTCCAGTCGTTTGGTTGTTGCGGAGCCCAGAACCGAAAACTGGTTATTTCCTTGTTTTTCCAGACAAATGATCCCTCAACGCTTCGGTCATTAAGTCCAATCCATGATCGCTCTCCATTATGACGGTGCTGAATGTAGACATTTTCTTCTTGGTTGTGCACTGTTACCAGATGTGAGTTCATAGTTGAACAGTTGGACACAGCAGTCACCCAAGGTGCGCATACAGAGCTTGTTAAATAGCAGTATCCATTAAAGTAATCCCATCCAGATGGACAGATGTCTGTGCGTATACAAAGTAGGAATTAATGAACTGTAAAATGACATTGCTTAAAATGTATAGCTTGAGGTGCAGTTATGTACTTCGAACATATTTGTTATTTCCGGAGTTTGTGATTAAAAAAGGAAATGGAAAAGCAGAAGCTTTGTGTTCAGGACAAAATAAAGGCAATACATAAGACAAAAACAACTGCAAGTATTATAAAGCACTCCATTATACACATTAATATGTATTTGGAAAAGGGGATGAACGTTGTTTTTTATCATCACCCGAAAGCTATTTTTATTATTTCCTCCAGTTTTTGGGCATTCCTTTTGTGTATTGCTTGTATTGCTTTTTTGTTATTCAGAGAGTTGGTAAGTACTGAAGTTTATGATTAGTTTTGTAGCAGTAGTACCTGACAAAACTGTGTACGTTACTGACAATGGGTCATATTTTGCTTCATATAATTCTTTGACACAAGCACGAAAGCATGTCTTGTTGATGTACTGCAAGAAAGGGATGTTTATCAGCTCATTAAGTAGTTCACACAGACGGCTGACGGCGTATTTTCTCCCTTGCCAGTAGAAAAAAAAAACTATAGAACAGTTCAGGTAGGTCTTGACCAGAAGACTTTCCATATTTCTCAGTTTGACGCATGTTAAGAAGTGATCAACCCTGTTCAACAAGTTTGCATGACAGGGCTTCAAAGGGAAGAGGAAAGAGGACAATTGAGTGCGCGTTATTACATGTCAACAACTTAAACCTCTCATGCGATAATTGGTCAACTGCTGTCAAATGTTTGGAGGCGAAATATGTCGCGTTCACGGGAAAGTATATAGACCGCGCGGGTCACGGAAACAGCATATAAAAATAACCTTCATCGCACGCGTGCGAACTTTCAATAGATTTCAAATAATCATCATGGGGCACAGGGATTCGCTCTCTTAGCTCATTCTCTCTTGCTTAACATCAATTTTAGTTTTCTCATTGCTGTTTGTTTGACAACATTTGCTTACCTTCTGCCATACAGCTACACAGCTTTTTTTAAACACAGTTTTAACGACTTTCCATAATTCATGGCCATTTTACTAGCCAAGGGTTATTCCTGATCGTTAGTTAAACGGATAAAATTTAACTTTTGAGCTGTTTTTTTGCACGTTTTGTGTTCTATAAGCTGTTATTCTCAATAGAACGCTATCTGTATTGTAAAATAGAGAGTGTTAATTACAGTCATTCGTATTTTCGTAAGGTTTTTAAACATGCACACAACACATGTAAGTGTGGTTGCAAGTGGTATGTTACACAAATTCATAAAATAAATAAAAGAAAATAATTAAATAAATAACTAAAAACATACCTCTACCCACTCAGCTATGCTGTTATGAATTGGACTCTGACTTCCATTTTTGGTGGAATGATTGGCAGAAACAAACACATGTGGAGTTGAGTTATAAACTTTAGTAAAAGTAGCGTCCTGTCAAAAGAAATTACATAATTGTAAAAATTCAGTCTCTGACATTTATATAAAGGTAAAGACTTGTTCCGCATTAGGGCATTTATAATCTATATTTCATTTTCATTTTAAATATTCACTGAAGTATGACAGGCAGCCTGCTAAACTGATTAAATACAACTACCATCACTAGAGACAGGATAGGGCAACCTTTTTCTTTTGCTCTCTGATAGT